ATGTTTCACTGTAGACATCGTCTGATGCCAATTTGGTAGACATCGCCCAACCCTAGTACTTAGCAAATATAGCATTGATGCGCCTTTTAGATTAGTTTAAGATATGATAAGGTACACGGTTACGTAAAGTATTATGTGCGTTTTTGTTTATTTCTCCCAGGCCGAGACATTAATCTGGATGTGAACAGGATTCTGGGATACAGGCATTTCTGTAACAAGCTGTGGAACGCAGTGAAGTTTGCCATGAGGACTCTGGGGGAGGGATTTGTGCCCTGGGAGAAAGCTCAGGTGAGAGAGATGGACAGGAGGAAGTGATAGATAGATGGAGGATGTGTCAGGACATGCTAACTATGTTCAGTACTTGCGAACAGCTACTCTGTGGTGTATTGTGGGTTGATTTCCCTCTCTGTTTAACATGTGATTCTGTGTCTCTCAGCTGTGTGGCAGTGAAAGTGTGTCTGACCGCTGGATTCTGTCTCGTCTGAGTGCAGCAGTAGCCCTGTGTGATAGCGGATTTCAGGCCTACGATTTTCCCGCAATCACCACTGCCATCTACAATTTCTGGCTGTACGAGCTCTGTGATATCTATCTGGTAATGAATTCACACATTTGCGTTTGACCTCTTCATTTGTATAATACACACACATTTCTAAATAAGACATTATCCAATAAGATTTTTGGAGGGGAATTTGTTAAATTTGAGAGGTTTTTTTCTGCCGTTGTAGGAGAGTGTGAAGCCGGTGTTGAGCAGGACAGACTCAGAGGGACAAAAGCAAGCGGACATCTGCAGACAGACTCTCTACACCTGTTTGGAGGTGGGACTCCGCCTCCTGTCTCCCCTCATGCCTTTTGTGACTGAAGAGCTCTTCCAGCGGTTGCCAAGAAGACTTGCTCAGGACAGCACTTCCAGCATCTGTGTCACACCTTATCCAGAAACATCAGAGGTGAGCAGAGGTCAAAGGTCAAGCGAAATGGCAGTGTTTTCTAGTATCTAGGCTGGTAAAAATTTTATTCTATTCTAATAAAGAGTGTCAGGACGCAATCATCATGCTGCCCATGTGGTTTACCTCAGCCAATGAAATGTCAGGTGGATTTGAGTGTGTAGTCAGTAGAAAGTCAGGACAGTGATGCGTTCATGATGTCACCTACACATCTCAAATCAAGTACTACTTGCTGGTTACTGTAACAAGAATTGTCTGGTCAGAAGGGGGCAAAATCACACAGGGAACCAGCCTAAATGAAAAAAACAAAAAACGAGTTTATTAATCATGATATAGTCTTTGATGTCCCACTATAATGAGCTCTTTTTAGAGTTTTATCCTGGATCATTTTTCATCGTTCATTGAGGCAGTGTAGTGGAATGTGAAGGTGACTAGATTAAAAATAACCTTTGGAACTTTGAAGTTTTAATGAAAAGAAGAGCAGAGAGAGGATGTTGTCTGAACAAAATGCATTCTGTGGTAGTTTCTGGTGTAAATGGTGTTTTTTTGTTTTGTTTATAGTTCTGTTGGCACAGCGAGGACATCGACTGTCAGATGGAGTTTGTCATGTCTGTGGTCAAAACCATCCGATCACTCAGGGCCGATTATAACCTGACCAAGACCCGCGCTGACTGTGAGACCTCACACAGTACACTGCACACTCATTTCAAACTGACTAGATTCAACTAGGGATGCACTGATCCGGAACGTCAACGCTTCGTTGGTCAATATTGGTATATGGACCATTTTAAACAGATGTGACTGATCCAAATCCAATGCTGGATTGTCATAAAAAATGAGTGCAATATTTGTTGGTTATCATCTGATATTCATTTTATTTTTATTAGTCAATAACAGATATTTGATTGATTTTTAAAAAATTTTAGCGTTGCATTTTTAGTTTATTAAGACACAATAGTATAGAATTGTAATAATGGCCATGTACATTACTGTTTAAATGTTTGGGGTTGGCAGTTTTTTTTAAATGCAGCAGAATATTGTGAAATATTATTCCAGTAAAAAAAAAAGTTTTCTAATGTATTTTAAAATAACATTTATTCCTATGATGGCAAAGCAGCCTCTACTCCAGTCTTCGGTGTCATATGAACCTTCAGAAATCATTTTAATATGCTGATTTGCTGCTCAAGAAACATTTCTTATTATCAGTGTTGAAAACAGTTGTCCTGCTTAAAGGGATAGTTCGCCCAAAAATGAAAATTCTGTCACTAATTACTCACCCTCATGTCGTTCTAAACTCGTAAGACCTCCGTTCATCTTCAGAACACAAATTAAGATATTTTTTTATGCATTCTGAGAGCTCTCTGACCCTCCCATAGACAGCAATGTAATTAACAGGATCAAGGTTCAGAAACGTAGCAAGGAGATCGGTAAAATAATCCGTGTGACATCAGGGGTTCAACCGTAATTTTACGAAGCTACAAGATTATTTTTTTTATGCGAAGAAAACAGAAATAACGACTTTATTCAACAATTCGTCATCTCCGCGTCACCGTTGCACCATTTTAAAGAGTATCCATTGAACGTAAACAGCGTATGCTGTTCTGTGTCAGCCGCACCACACGGATACGTTTTCTACGTTTATTTACACTTTGATTTGAACGAAAACAACGTATCAGTGTGGTGCAGCTGACACAGAATAGCATACGCTGTTTACGTCCAGCGGATATTCTCCAAAATGGCGCTATAGGGTGACATGGAGGAGACTTAATTGTTGAATAAAGTCATTATTTCTGTTTTCTTTGCGTACAAAAACTATTCTCGTAGCTTCGTAAAATTACGGTTGAACCCCCGATGTCACATGGATTATTTTAACGCTGTCTATGGGAGGGTCAGAGAGCTCTCAGAATTCATCAAACATATATTAATTTGTGTTCTGAAGATGAACGGAGGTTTTACGGGTTTGGAACGACATGAGGGTGAGTAATTAATGACAGAATTTTCATTTTTGGGCAAACTATCCCTTTAATATTTTTTTGTTGAAAACATGATACATTCTTGTAGGATTCTTTGATCAATAGAAAGTTTTTGTTCTAAAAAAAAAAAATAATGATCATAGTAAATATTTAAGAAAATATAATGCATTATTTTGAAATATATTAAAAGGTATTTTAGTATATTTTTATTTTAATGTAATATAAACATGTTGCAAAACAGTTCTGTAGTTCATGAGCTTCATTACAGAATCACAAGAGGCAAAAGTTGGTGCATCCCTAGTCTCAATATTACCCATATCACACACACACGTTGAGGTTTACACACAACCTACTGACCATATGGTATTAACGTACGAGAACCTCACAGTCTTTGGATTATTTCAGATTTTTATTAGCAGATGTGTAACTCGTGACTGTTTTATCTCCGTGTCAGGTTATCTGCAGTGCATAGACTCTGATACTGCTGCTCTGGTCCAGACATACGGTCTTCAGATCCAGACGCTGTCTTACTCTCAGGCTATTTACCCAGTTGTGGGGGGCGACAGCACTATCCCACAAGGCTGTGCGGTGGCCATCGCCTCCGATAAATGCACTGTTCACCTCATGCTGAAGGTAAAAGTCTTCGTGAATGTTGTTTCATGACTAAAGCATTTTGACTTGCACTAATACACCTGAAGGAGTTTTATTCAGGTTGTCATAATCCCACCACAGCTGCCAAATACATTCATTAATATAATCAACTGGAAATGAGGAGATAAAGTATTTATTTAAATTTGATTCTCTAAAAATAACATCCAACACGTTCTCAGCACCCAATCATCTGGTTTGGCATTGTGTCAAGAATTCATTTCCCCCTCCTACAGCGTCACATTTTAACGAGTGTAATGAGCTTTCTGTGTCTGTAAACATGCCGGTTTCTAAATCCTTTTCTGCGAATCAGGGTTTGATTGATTTGGAAAAGGAGGTCACTAAACTGACAGCAAAGAAAGGGGAGCTGGAGAAACAGATGGAAAAGATGAATGAAAAGATGGCCAAGAACGACTACAAGGAGAAAGTTCCTGTTAAAGTGCAGGAGGCAGATGCTGAGAAGGTAAGTGGGATGGAGGGGAAGCAATTTGTCTGAGAAAATGGTCTTAAATGACAGTTTTCAGCAGTTGCTTGTCTTGAAGAAAAGTGCAACATTTTTATTTTCTTTCCAGCTGAGGCAGAATGAAACAGAACTGCAAAAAGTGAATGAAGCCATCGAGAACTTCAGAAAGATGATGTAACGACTCATTTTCATGCGTTTTCTATCATTTATGAATTTTTCCATTCTTTTGTTCTCTGTCTAATGTATGTCAGTCCTGCCTACTGAACAATAATGTGGGGAAGCTTGAATAAACATCAACCTTAGATGGAAAATTATGAAATTTCTCTGTAGTGTAATTGTATTATAAAGTCACCAAGCTCACTATATATATATATATATACAAATGTATGTAAACTGTTTATAAAGTTAACGTAATATACAGCATATCAACAATGCTTGTTCACAATTTCAAAAAACAACTGTACCATTTCAATGTAGCTTTCAAATAAGAAACTTTTATTTTGTCAACCACAAATAATGACGATTGAAGACAGAGGAACCCAACCACAAAAAAAGTATCCCCTGGTTTTATTTAATATTCATATGTAATATAACATTCAGAACATTTTTACGATACGATTTGTTCATAATTACAGTGCTCCACAAAATAGAGGATAAAAATGAATACACGCTGAAAAAGAGGCAAGAGATCTTTGAGTCCCGTCACTGAGAGTCTCTCAAAACGAGAGCGACGACAAACCTGAGCATCAACACTTTCCGATCTTCATGTTAAATACCTACTGCGATGGAGGCAGAGCACAGCCAATAATTTAAAATGTTTCTTATCAAACCATGCGAACAAACATAAACGAGTAACCCTGTCACATTTAAACAAACGACTAATTCTAAACGCCGCCCCACAGAACTGACTCAAATGTACTGGTGTGTGATTCCCTTTGACCTCCGGTGCTCTCTTCCTGTTAGTCTCATCAGTGCTCTACAGTTTCCAGGGAGGCCTGAACTCAGAAATGGGGAGTGGAGTGCAGTGTGTCGTGTCAAAGTTTCGCATATACTTTCGTGCCTGAAAGAGAGGAAAGTCATGTTAGATTGATGACCTTTAAACATTATTATATTATATATAGAGAGAGAAAGAGTAGCATTTTTATTTACTGGGTATACTCTGTTATTTTTGTAACATACCAAGAATAGAGCAAGCTGCCTTCTGCCCTCGAGTGTCATGTCTTCACCTGAAACAAAAGACAGAAGATCAGATCACCAACAGTCAAATGTTTGTCTGTTTTAAGCAGAAACTGTAGCCATAGTGATTGAAGTCACTGCTGAACTTCCTCGTTTCTATCACACCAGCCCATTTAAAGGGGTCATATGATGCGATTTCAAGTTTTACTTTCTCTTTGGAGTGAGTTTTGAGCAGTGTAGAGTAGTGCTTGTTGTTTGTCATTTCTCCGATAGCAAATGCAGACATGGTTTTATGTTTATGCGGCGCGATGCAACGTAATGCGTAAAAAGACCGTATAAGTCATTATAATCCGTAATTATGTCCCCACTGGATGCAACAAATGCCTTGTTTATAATGGGTTTTAATGTTTTTGTCTCGTCGCTCACAATATGGTAATGGGTGTAACATTTCCGTAACACGCTTGAGGTATTCGGCCAATCACAACGCACTGGATAGCTGGCCAATCAGAGCACACCTCGCTTTTCAGACCGATGAGCTTTGTAAAAATCGACGCTTTTCAGAAAGGCGGGGCATAGAGAAGAAACAATAATGTACAGTATGTGGAAAATAATGTGTTTTTTTAACCTTAAACCACAAACACATTTCATTTCACCAAATACACAAAATGTTCTTTTCACAAATCTTTTTAGCAACATCATATGACCCCTTTAAGTTCTGGACGTGAGCATGGCAACTGTGTTTGAAGCACGTACCAACACTCCAGGGGAACAGGGGCTCTCTGTCTGTCTGATAGGATTGCAGCACAGACAAGCACCAATCATCATCCACCTCATAGCCCGTGTACACAGATTCTAAAGGAACAGAGGAAAAAATGACACACTTTTACACATTCTGCTTAATAGAGCCAAATTAAACAGAGAAAGCAGAACAGATACCGACTACATCATAATTATTTTCATATTAGAGTTCATAACCAGTGCTATGGCCAATATGCTAATTCAGGGGTTTTCAAACTTTCTGATGCCCAAATGATTATCCTCTTGCAAGGGAACCCCTTCTGGAAATATAAAAGACAGCTATATTTATGTACAGTATAAAGACTACATTTCTATTGTACAAAATAAAAATATAAATACATGAAAAATTATCTGGAAAATGTTTAGTTTATATTAAACAGACACTATCTGTTTTCTATCTACTATTAACGATTAATGTCAGATGTGCAAACATGAAAGAAAATATGGCTGTCAACTGAGATTAATCTCATGATTTTTGACCAGTATTTACAATGCAAAAAGAAACCGTAATGTCATCAATTCTGTATATTTGAACTGATATTACTTATTCATTTTTACACTTTTCTCTAAACTTTTGCACTCCTTGGAACCCAGTTTGAAAAACCCTGTTAAAATAAATAAAAATACACTAAAACCATAAATCAGGGTTTTAGATGCTACATTTCAGGCATATGCCACATAGTACAGAAAAAGAGAAATTAAATTTGAATTAGAAAAAAAAATGTAATTAATATAATCAACCTCAGCTATTAAGGAAGAAAAAATATATGTTAATATTAATATTTTACATAAAATATTATTTTTCAATAATGACCAAGAGAATAAAAATTAATTAGTTAATAATATTATTATTATTCATTTTAACATTAAGATTAATAATCTATATTACTTATATCCATGTGCAGTGCATATCCATGTGACATCAGGGGTTCAACCTTAATTTGTTGAAGCTACGAAAATCTTTTGTGTGTGCAAAGGAAACAAAAATTACGACATGGACTATTTTAATGATGTCCTTACAACCTTTCTGGGCCTTGAATGTGATAGTTGCATTGCTGTCTATGCAGGGTCAGAAAGCTCTCGGATTTCATCAAATATATCTTAATTTGTGTTCTGAAGATGAATGAAGGTCTTTTCATTTTTGGCTGAACTATCCCTTTAAAATGAATTCACTATAAAAGCACACCTTCTTCAATCTGTGTCCCTGCTGCGAGCCACTGCCTGACTGCCCTGAGAGCGTCCTCTGTCATGACTTTAGGATACCTGAGAGACACAGGGAAAGAGAGATGAAAGCAACCGACAGAGCAGAACCAGATGAAGCAGTTGGTGTGATCTGTGTCTGACCTGTACTGGAGTAGTTTGAGCAACAGGTCATTCCCTCTGTTAGACATGATGTCTTCTGGACCCCTGTATCAAAACATAACACATGCCATGTCGACATCAACAACAATTCGCGTTTGCCTTCGCAAGCATCAGTGTGTGTTCATCTGTGTCCTGGATAACTCACGTGGTAGTGATGATTTCATCTTTGGTTCTTCTGATCAATAACACTGGTCCCTGGTACCTGAAATGAGAGCAACGTATTTAGATGAAGCTCATACTGTTAACGTTTTGTTTTTACTATTAAATAAATCATAATAAAGGTGACTAACTTGCAGAGCTGTTCAGCGTTGTTCAGGTTCATGTACTGCCTCACTGTATGGGTGACCAAGGGTCCTGCGGAATGGAAACAAACCCATTCGTTCGTTCATTTTTTAGGTCACTCCTTCGAGAACCGATGAAAAGAATAAAGCACTCACTCCAGCTTTCAGGCATGACCTTTAGCGCAAGTGGTAAAAGGTCATCAAATGAGGCATCTTGAACCAGAGCTCGGATCTCTGGGTAAGACATCACAGCCCAACTGGCTAAAATAGAGCAGCACATTAAGAACGAAAACAAATGAATCCTTTTTTTCTGTTGTGGGTCAGTGTTTTCTGATGGCTGGTGCGGGACTGTTTACCTGTGAAGCCCCCTATTGACCAGGCGTACACAATAATGTCACTCAACTGGAAGCCCAGTTTGTGTACGGCAAACTGAATGACGACATCCATCGCATTGGCCTCGTTTTGAGGAAATGGAACTCCCTGAAAAACACAGAGGTTTCCAAACATTTTACATTTTGGATAAAACACATACGAATCCTACATTACTTGTGTCATTAATTGTGTGCTGTTATGCCAAGGTCAGTGTGAGGAACAGATGGCGTGATGTTGACTTACTGTACTGCCGCCAAACCCTGGGTGATTCCAGCCCAACACTGAATATCCACCTGAGAGGAAACAGTTTGACATGCATCTAGTGCTTTAATGTAATGTAAAATAAAATATAACACGGACACATTGAGCCTCAAACATTTACCTTCCAGTGGTGTGTTCATGCAGCCGACCTCATAGAATCCTGCGTTTCCTTCACAGCAGATCACCTGTGATGCACATTATATCACTATATAATACGTTATTTCAATATACTACTTCGTTCCGTGAAGCTCCTCTAGTATGGTTTCTTCTGCTCTGTTGTAGTGGTACATTTACTTCACACTATAAACATACTTACCAGAGTCTTTCCGGCTCGTCCTCCATCTTTCCTCCGGTCCACAAACATGGTGTCAATCTCATTCCCATCACATGCCACCAGTTTGTTCCGCTGACCGTCATACTGAACATAAACACACAAATAATCGATGAATTTCCATATACAGTAAATACTGGAGTCGGTGTGATTTTTTATCAAATAAATTAGTACTTTTATTTAGCACAGATTCATTCAACTGATCAAAAGGAAAGTCATTTATAATGTTACAAAAGATTCCCATTTAACTTCTATTAATCGAAAAATCCTGAAATAACAGTTCCCGCAAAAATATTAAGCAGCAGAAATATTAAGTAGCACAACTGAAAACTGGAGTAATGATGCTGAATATTCAGCTTTGCCATCACAGGAATAAATTACATTTTAAAATATGTTAAAATAAAAAAAACAGTTATTTTAAATTGTTCTATTTTCTTAAAATATTACTGGTTGTATTTTTATGCATTACTGTTTTACTGTATTTTAAATGCAGCCTTGATGAGCATAAGAGACATTTTCAAAATCATTTCAAAAACACAAGGTACTGAATAAGGAATTTCTAAATATTTTTCAAAGAAATTGACAACTATATAGAAAGTGTACAGTAATTATGCATTTTCAGTGTAATTATAATTAAGACCAAAGGGTACGGTAACTCTCAAATTGATTTTTTGGATAATACAATCACATATGTAACCTACATATAAAATGCTGTTCTATGGCATTTTCTGCAAAAAAATTACTGAACAAAAAAAAAATTCTTTAACAAAGATTTCACTCATAAAATTCAAATTCAAGATAATTTTTCATTTTAGCTCTTAATGTTTTTTTTTATTGCTAATTTATGTCTTTTTTTAAATCCCTGATATTTCCATTAGCATGGGAGTTCATAATGTGAGAAGCTACATGTTTTCCTGAGAAGTGATTTGAATGTGTTGTACTGTAGTGTGGGTTTGTACTTGTATGCGTTACCTCTTCTACGAGTCTGGCCTGGCCCTGCTGTAACATGGGTCTCATGGCCTTCTGCAGCAGACCCACTGAGCCCGGGTACAGCATCCTCCGGCCGAACGAGTGCACTATCAGATAACTACACAAAACACACACACACATATGAGAACCTATGCTGGTGACCTCTAATCTAAACCTATGCATCTGTACAACCCTAACAATAAAGTCAATGTATTATCACACACTCTTACCTCAAGATGTGGCATGGTAGTGTGCGAACTGAATTTAGCACACTGTCTGCTGCTCCTCTGTGTTTCGGCTCCGGCCTCAGCAGGGACACGCCACCTTTAGACAGCTTCCTGCAGACAGAGGAAGTGCAAGAACATTAGAAACATGCACACATCTCTAGCCGATGACACCCAATTAAAGCAAACCCCTCTAAAACGTAAAGACTAAGAGAAAGAGAGAAACAAGCTTTACTTACGGACTACTGACTTCTTTCCAGCTGAAATCTACAGGCCAGTGTTTGAAGTCGAAGTCAAAACATGCAAGTTTTTTCTGAATGGGACAGAATCGATATTCTTTTAATGGACTCGTTAAAGCAAAGCTCCATGGGAAGGTTCCTATGGCACTGCTGCCGTCTCACCTTGTTGTTAGGAGTGTGGTTCTTCCTGGTTTCCTCCAGTATGGAGATGAACTGAAGGTACTCTGGGTTTCTCCAGCGTCCCCAACCTAACAACAGCACAGCGGTAAAAACACAAACAAGCACAAATCATGTTGAACCTACAGCTGTATTAAAGGGGTCATATGATGCGATTTCAAGGTGTTTTTTGAACATTAAAGCATGTCAACATATTCTGTTACACCAAATACACCAAATAATGATCTTTAAAAAAGCATCATATGACCCCTTTAAATGTTAGTTTACAACAGAGTGAATGTAATTAAAGTACAAATATCAACTGCAAAAGTATGGTAATTAAACAGACCAACATTACTAATAAACATACAATGGAAGTAAAATATTGTCACCTCTCAGACAGGCCACTCCTATCAGACAGACCAGTGCTGTGCCAACATACTGACTGAGAGGAGCCAGCTTACTGCTGCAGATGTACCCTACAACATATAATAATCCTCTCTGATCAACAGCAAGCAATACCTCACCACATTATTAATTATTCATTCATAAATCTTATTCAAGGCTCAACACGAGTGGCCAGACGTGAAAGAGTCATGCAAACGGAATTTTTTTTTTTTCTGAGATTTGAAATGTTGTTTTGGGAGTTGAATTCAGATTCTTTTGTGTGTAGATGTGTAGACCATCACATGCCATCATTTTTTCATCATCATCATCATCATCATCAATGTTTGTGGTTGTGATAGCTGTTATGGATTTACATTATAGATGTGTTATCACGGCCTTCATATCAATTAGCCTTAAATAATACCTCATTTTCACTACATGTATGTAAAAACTTCACATAAACCTTGCTAATGTTATTTGTATGTTTTATAATGTTTTTATTAATATGTGACCCTGGACCACAAAACCTCCGTCTCAAGTCGCTGGGGTATATTTGTAGCAATAGCCAAAAATACATTGTATGGGTCAAAATTATTGATTTTTCTTTTATGCCAAAAATCATTAGGATATTAAGTAAAGATCATGTTCCATGAAGATATTTTGTACATTTCCTACTGTAAATATATCAAAACTTAATTTTTGATTAGTAATATGCATTGCTAAGAACTTCATTTGGACAACTTTAAAGGCGATTTTCTCAATATTTAGATTTTTTTGCACCCTCAGATTCCAGATTTTCAAATAGTTGTATCTCGACCAAATATTGTCCTATCCTAACAAACCATACATCAATGGAAAGCTTATTTATTCAGTTGAAAAATTGACCCTTATGACTGGTTTTGTGGTCCAGGGTCACATATATGTCTAGTAGTGGTAAAAGGGTTACATTTAATGAAAGTTTGAACAGATATATAAATGTCAATATTTTTATATGTTTAGCAACAATCTAACACTGGGCATTAGGGGTCCAACTTTTTTCTCTTGTTCTCAAACAGTGGAGTCTATGGCACAAATAATATATCATGAATATCACTGCTTGGGTTTCTGATTTGGACTTAATACATATCAGTTTTCACAGTGGAAAAATGTGGAAATACTGGCTCATCTGGGGCAGCAGAAAAAATCAGTTATCTTGTTATTAGTGGTCAGTAATTAATTTAATCTGCAGATAGAATCTGTCATGCAACTTCATTATCATCGTAACCTAACAATATCAAATACAGTTAGCAGTGCTTGATTGTCATTTAATAACACAATTATTACAGAACGCCATTAACCACATCTTTGTAAGGCACAGACTCTCTTGCACAAGAGAACAGCAAAGACCATCTCCACTGATGCCATAATATCAATAAGATATACAATACAACCATGATCACATAACTACATCATACTGGATTTAACATTAAACTACAGTATTTGAACTGCATTCTATGTACCTTAACATTACACTTGCACCATAACATCTTTGATTCAGCTATTCCAATGCTCAAATTAAACAAGATCATACCTTAGTCATGATGTAAAAGAGCTCATTCAGTACAGCACAGCCCATTCACAACCTGAATATCAGTGCTCTTCAGGTCTAAAACCTCTTATGAACCGGACTAAAAATACATACAGCACTACCGTGAGAGCATTAGCCTGTGACTCATATGATATGATTACACCTGCTGAACGTAACATTAAGACTGAACCAATCAACAACTGCTTATGCAATAACATTAAGATCTGCATGCAGAAACGCACAATATTTGGTATATTATTTATAGTGCTGTTAAATTTTTAAAAATGTATACTGTGTGTGTATTTATATATACATAATAAATATACACAGTACACACACATATGTAAACAAAAACTTTTATTTTGGATGCGATTAATCGTTTGACAGCACTAATTATTTACATAGTAACAAAATGGAAACAAGAAGAAAAATAAAAGTGTATTAGTGCATGTATAATACACTTTTACCTGTAGGTGTATTGGACAGTAGAATTACAATTTTAGCACATAAACAAATAGGTTTGTGGTTATATGATGCTGTATTTGTATTTTACCTTTCCTATAGAGATAACAGAGGAGCAGTGGAGAACTGTAGTAGGACAGAGACCACAGCACCGAGGCCTGAAGGACAACACATGACAGTGATTAAACTTCACATTACAAAACCTTTGGGCGGTTTCTTTTTTTAACATTTGGTCACTACACCAACTGCAGGAAAATGTGCAATGAAACTGTGATCACATACCCAACCGAGGATGCTGTCTGTGTGTCTCTCCAAACCTCTGGGCTGATAATTCCAGCCCTACATAAGACAAAGAAACACCAGTTATGAGTCTGCTGTATCTTTACAAAAGTTTGCCATGGTGACCATAGTTTCTATATTTATTAATACCACAGATATTGTTACAAAAAACCTGTGGTCACTTGGTATTAGATACAGACCAAAAATAGGTTTGATGGATACAATGTACCAATGTTCTCGCATATCTGCTCTTCAAAGGTTCACTGTAATTTATTGTTTGGTTGTTTGTATGCATTCTTTTTCCCATAAAAAACATTCATTCCACAAGAAAGCATTTTAAGACTCACATAAACACATGAAAAGAAACGTTTTAATTTATATCCCATGACAACTAGTAGACTCTAGTAGTACTAGAGTAATATCATTATTGCTGCTGTTATTCTTATTGTTATAAAAAGTCAAAATCCATATTGTGTTTTTACAGTTGTAGCCTAATGATTATGCTATTTATTTCGACACAAATTTGCTACAGTGAAATATCTGTGAAGTATACAGTATGTATAAATAATGCAATTAGAACTAAAAGTAAGCAAACGGAAACAAAGGGGAAAAAATGACTAGACATGAAAACATTTAGATAAATATAGATGGTTACAAAAATATCTGTCAGTCTCTATTTAGTTTTAGCCAATACAATGTTAAACAAACAAATACATAATTTTTGAGGGAGAGTCTACAGTATAAATTACAGTAGTAAAAACAAAAATTTTCCTTGGTATTTTAAAGGGTAGATTCATGTGTGAGACTACTGTTTCTCTGTGAAGAGGGTAAAAGAAAGATTACCACCATTTTACTCATTATTCAGTTATTATTGCAACAGTCTAAGTATGATTCATAGCAATGACAAATGTCAGATGTATAACCCAAATAGAAACAATAATTCGACGCATGGGTGCGATAATAGTGTTGTTATGGTTGTGCACCTCGACTGCTCTGTCACTCGACCATTAGAGATAAGCTCTCTTCAGTTAGCAAACAGCTCTCTGTCAATGGATGTCTCAAACCCGAGTGAGCTGCTTATCTAGAGAGTGTTTTAGGACATCATTTGAACTTATTCCGAACGTTCCGTTCCGTTCCGATCAAATCAAATCGCATATGATGATCAAATGCTGTCTAGATAGGCAGCTCACTAGGATTTGAGACTCCGCCAATAGCACAATAATGCACTTCCGCACATTCTTGCGAGACTGATCTCGGCAGTGTTTTAAGGCTATGGCTCAGTCTAAACGGGAAGTTAGAGTCGTACCCTGCGGGGCGGTCTGCCGTCAGTACGTGTCTGGTCCGGTGAGCGGTGGATCCGCTGTAGATTGGGCCCGAAAAGGCACCGGAGCCACATCCAGCCGGCCATTCTCACCTCGGTCAGGAACTACGGCGGCCTGCGAGGATCAGAAGTACTACAGCAGCGAATGCGAAAAATAAAATCACGTCACATCCGCGGCTTAGGTGTTCAGTTTTATGAAGGAATATTACAGACCAAATTAATCAAATAAATACATAAATGCACCATAATCAAATAAATACATCATAAAATGTTGCAATCACTAAATAAAATGGGATCACAAATAAGGCTCAATTATTATATATATGATATATTTATTTTATGTATACATATTGATGTACTTATTTTTTGACACGGAATAAATATTTTTTATTATAAACAAATGGTATTTTCAAATAAATATTTATAACAAATAATAATTATATTTTTTACATTCATATTTTATGAAATATAAAATTTTCATAATTGTGTTGTGGATAAGTATTTGCTATATGAGTTTAATGTAACTTTACAAGACAAAATATGTTTATAATACATAAAATGGCAACCATAATTTGAAATTTACAGACATTTTCAAAGGTGTTTTCCATATATTTTGAATTATGCAATGTTTGTGTTGTGTTTTGGGGTTAGAAGAAAGGTCTATAAACTTAACTGAAAATATCCTTATTTTACCTGCATAGTACAATTTTTCCCCCACATATTTTCTTCTTACAGTGTACGTTTATTGACATTATAAAAAACTGCTATCAAAACAGATATGAAAAAGTAAGAAAACACAAAATTAGAAAAGGTTTTTGAAAACCTCAAACAGTTTTTGAAGAAGTGCCATACTAGTAACAAGAACAATTAAGTGTCATAAGTTAAGACACAAGTCACGTATACATAATAAGTTTTATTTCAAATACAGTTTCACTGTAAATGTTTAATAAACTCAACCACAGCACTGGTTGTATCTGAAATGAAACACACACACATAGAGAAGGAAAACATTATCAGGACGATTAATGCACAAAGAGCACATGAACAATGACGCACCTGCACTGTGTCCCCCACATGACCTGCAGCCAATCATGTCTCACCTATCTAATTCTTTATATACATCCATTTCACCCTTTGGCTTGAGATCCTAGAGAGAGGGACAAACAGGGACAAGGATGAGAAGGGCGGAGACGTCTCAGATTTATAGTTTGGCAGAGGTTTGATTCGGTTCATCTGCTAATATCACTAATACAGGCGTGACAGAACTGGGAGGAAACGCACACACACACACACACACACACTCACTGTCAAACAGATTGTAAACTGTTGGGACCTGGTTTTTGGAAGACACACACACACACACACACACACACAATTACTCATTGCTCTGCCTGAGAAGGACTATAATAACTCACCATGTAGACTGCGCCTTGGGGAGGTGTCTGCTGGGAGAAGAGAGGGAGAGAAAGAGGAAGGGAGAAATAGATTTAATAATAGAGCAGAGATAGATATACATTATGAAAGAACGACAAGGAGAGAGAGAGAGAGAGAGACAATGAAAGAAAGAAGGGGTAGTAAAAATAGATTTAATAATACAGCAGGGGGGAGAAGGAGAAACTGCCAAATAGAGGGAGAGAAGGAGGTGCTGTGCATTTCAATCACCTGTCTTAGATCATCAGGATTTTCATAGATGTTCTCCACCTCTCCGGAGTGGTGAGACAGCGATTGCTCGACACCTACATGAACACAGACACGTGAGGGCTTCTGTCCATCAACATCTGCCAGGGTGAACTGACAGCCTTCAGATATTTGATGGACAGACTCAGGGGGGAAAAGACAAATGCAGGGCCTTACTTCGACGGGTGAGGCAATAGCCCTGTCTCCATAGCAACACCCCAACAGCTACGGCAATCAGGGGGATCAGAAATAGGAGGAATGAGAAGGTGGAAACATAAGAGAATGCTGAAACATCTCCTGCTGGGGGGAGTGTGAGAAAGGCAGAAAAAGAAACGCTAAGTTAGGTTACCCATCAGTGAGTGTGCAGAAGTGTGTGTATCGGCACTCACCTGCAGGTGGCAGTGCAGGCCCTGGAGAAAATGTTGGATCTTCAACAAGAGTTGAGTAGACAGGAATGGTTAGAAATGTATTCATTAATTCCAGGGAAATAAAATATTTAAAATATAAATCAATAAAATAAAATAAAATCAAATAGTGGGACAGCGTATGTAACTTTAGATGCAAACACAGTGAAAGCAGAAGAAACAAATGATACCAACAGTAGACATGATGTAATGAGTATTTAAATATCCCTGAATACATGTTTTGGAAAGATGAAGAGATATGGAGGATGAGGAAGAGAAATGAACAAAATATGTTTTGCATATGGTGAGGTGACATCATTCATGCAAACAATGAGTGGTGCTGTTCTTATCTACCCGCTCTCAGTCTCACTGTTATCTGCATGTTGTATGTTTGATGACACTGCTGTCTTTGAAATACCATCTAATCGTGATTTAAACTCCAGGAAAAAATAAATAACTGTGTAAAAATAATAGTAACAATGTTTTAAATAGTTCTGAATTAAAAATGTTTGCATCTGAACCTAGAAATTCAAATTTCGTCATCATTTGTTTCATTATTTAAGTAATTTACTGAAAATATGGGCATCTGCTCTATCCCTCTTTGACAAATTAAATGACAGAGGCAGCAATTTGTGAATAAATCATTTGAAATTGATTTGTGAAGCAGTTTAGTGGATTGATTGTAAAGATCTGATTCAAATGAATGATTCATTCACAAGCCGACATTGCTAATTCACTAAGCAGAGCTAGGGCTTAAATTTCACTCTGTTCCTCTGACAAAGCTATCATATTAATTCAGAAGACTTTTATGGACCACTCTTATGGACTGGTCACTCAAAATGTTTTTTTTTTTTTTTTTGCTTCCACTTTTCCATAGTTTTTCTATATAAACTTGCACTAGACATGTCTGATTATTACTATTGTGTCTCGTGTATTTTGAAGAGTCTCATGTATCACATGGCATTCTAAAAATGCAGCACTCAAGTTTAAAGTTCAGCTGTTAAAAACTGCATCTGCATTTTTTTCCAGTGCCCTGCATCTCATGTTTTTTTTCCCATTCCACTGTGCTGCTTTTCCATTGTTTTCTATGTAAACATGCATTGGATGGATGTGCACTCGTGACTTATATCTTTTGTAGTGTCACGCACATGACACAGCGTTCTAAAAACACGTTTAAAAATACTTTTTAAAAATGCACCTCTAGTTCTGATGAGCTACCAGTACATTCTTGAAAATTTCTCCTCTCATGTTCAGTAAAAGAAAGAAATTCACACAGGTTTGGAACAACATGAGGATGAGTAAATGATGACAGAATTACTGGTCACTCAAAATGTTTTTTTTTTTTTTTTTGCTTCCACTTTTCCATAGTTTTTCTATATAAACTTGCACTAGACATGTCTGATTATTACTATTGTGTCTCGTGTATTTTGAAGAGTCTCATGTATCACATGGCATTCTAAAAATGCAGCACTCAAGTTTAAAGTTCAGCTGTTAAAAACTGCATCTGCATTTTTTTCCAGTGCCCTGCATCTCATGTTTTTTTTCCCATTCCACTGTGCTGCTTTTCCATTGTTTTCTATGTAAACATGCATTGGATGGATGTGCACTCGTGACTTATATCTTTTGTAGTGTCACGCACATGACACAGCGTTCTAAAAACACGTTTAAAAATACTTTTTAAAAATGCACCTCTAGTTCTGATGAGCTACCAGTACATTCTTGAAAATTTCTCCTCTCATGTTCAGTAAAAGAAAGAAATTCACACAGGTTTGGAACAACATGAGGATGAGTAAATGATGACAGAATTTTCATTTTTGTGTGAACTATCCCTTTAACAGCAGAATTCTGCAGAAGGTCTATTTTCTGCACCCTGCTGCTCCAGAGACTCACTAGCCATGTTTTAAATCATCCATTATGATGGAGTTAGGTTTCATGAAATTGATTGGTCAAGGGGCTCGCACATGATTGTGCTACAGTATGGTATGTGACCTTTCCGGTGACCTACATGATTCCACTAACTAATGTTCTCGTCACTGGTTCATTAAATTCAATGAAACACAGAAGGTCTATCACACAGAACAAAAATAACTCATTGGAATAAATATTCACCTGCAGTCTGACCATTTTCCGGTTTTTAAATGTGAGTGTTCACACCTTGACTTAAAGAATGTACAGCAAAAAAAAAAAAATAGTGAGAACCAAAAAAAAAAGGTGCCAGACAGAGAGAGAGAAAAGAATAGCATACACTTTCTCTCACCTATACTGGCCATTGTGACGGTGTACATATATTGCACTGATTTTCCATTTTTCAGATACAGAGTGCAGGCATACTGTCCAGCTGTCTCAGGGGTCACAGGGAGCACTACAGAGGTTGTGATCCGGCCCAAAACAGCAGTTGACTGCAGAAAGCGTCTAGGATCCTGAACATACGACCACTTTACAGCTTTAACTTGAGATCGTTCTGAGTACATACAACTCAGATCCAGAGCGGTGTGGGATGACTTGGTGTATCCTGAGGGGGAAACCGACAAACAGATGATGAGAGAGGAGAAATGAACGCGAAGGGTTAAAATGATATATATTCATTAAACAGCCGGGTGTAGCCGGGTCAGATGAGCTTGACTGTGACTGATGTACAGTGTCTCCTCAAACTCAAAGCAGTATCAATCCTGAGCTAATTGAGCTCGGTGGTTTCCACAGTAATGCCACAACCCACAGAATTGTCAGCGGCAACGGGCAGGTGTAATTACACATAATGAGATCTGTAATGAGGCCTACTAAAAAACATTACGTTAGAGAGAGGGAGGGGAGTGAGATATATATAGAAAGAAGAGACAAAAGTAAAAGAATTGAGTGAGAAAAAGGAGAGCGGGGAGGACGTAAGGGGAAAAAGAGATTAAAGTAAGAACAGGGGGAGATCAGATTAAGAACGGGAGAGAAAGATGAAAGTCAAGACACTGACTGATTGACTCTTGCATGCTGAACTACTGTGATTGATCGAACCGCCTGTGCAATTATAAAATGAATCCAAGAGCAATGATGCAAGAACATGCATCATTAAGAGT